TATAAAAAAATTATTAATTGTTTTGACCGGAACAATGTTCTCGATTATAAATCACACGTGTTAAATGGTTTTTGGAACTGAAGAAAAGTGAGTGTGGGGTGTGGACGTATGACCTTACATACTTTTTGAAAAATCAAATCCTGAAAAGCAAAATAATGCATCACGTTACAGTAGTTACAACGAAGAAACTGCATGATTGACCATATGTTAATTACTAAGAAATAGTAATGCAACTAAATTTCATCATATTTAGCTCTAATAGTATCACAGTATAACCTTTATAAATTAATATTCGATAAATCAATATATATATATATATTTTTGTCTAATAGTATCAATATATCAATGAATTAAAAAAAATCATAATTCCAACTATATTAATTTATAGCTAGAGATTTTACTGTATTCTGGATTACTTCTAGACATTATATAGCCTGGTTACAAGCTTTGGTTAGTTAGTGAATGGACTAATCATCGTTAATTAATTGATCAGAGAGCCTTGTAAACTACATAAGTTATTAAGTTTATCAAAAGACAAAACAATTCCCTGAACGAATCGTCTCACCACACAATTAAGATAATAGTAAATATAAAATGTCTCTCTTATGTACTTAAATTTAATTATAGTTACACAGAGGACATATATACTCTTGTTCTTTAATTTTAAATATAATGATATCAGTAATGCAAGACATAACAATTGTATTCAACAGTGGCGTCTCCTGTCTTTGGATCGAACCACTTAGTCCTAGCCTCGACATAACCTCTAGCTAACCGGAAGACTCCACTTCCTCCGACCACCGGCATTTCCCTAACCTTCGAGAATACCGTGTTCCGGCCAAGAATTGTGATCGTACTCCCGTTGTACTTCCCTGTCTTGAAAGCGAAATTCATCGCCATCAAGAAGCCCAACTCACGTTGAGCCGCTCCGGCGTAAAAACCTTGGGCCTGGCCTACCACAGTCGAGTTAACGGGCACATCAGATGTTAGTGCGTTGTCCATCATTGTGATTGATCCGAAGGAGGTTGAGGAGTTTGAAACCGCCTTCTGAATCATGATGGCAGTAGGGTTTTGACCGCTTAAGATGTCGTGCCAATAGACTCGGAGATGGGTGAGTTTCTCCTTCTTGTGGAACCTTTTTGGGTTCATTTCTTTAGCAAAATCTCCAGCGGAAGCAACGGCGGTAAAGAGGAGGATTTGAGCGGCAAGGAAGAGGATGAGGTTTGACATGTTTGATTACTTAATTATTTTATTACTTGGTGTTGTTGTTGTTGATGTTTCTCTCTTGTAATATGTTTCGATCTTGTTTTTAGTTCAAGTTAAAATGGGAGTGTATATATATAGATGTGGATGTGTGCTATAAATAACAAGTTTATATATAGATGTGAGAATGAGTGTGAAAAAAGAAGAAATGAAAAAAAGATAACGATTGTATTTATAGAAGAAAAAGCGTGTGCTATTTAAGAAAAAATCTTCTAGGTTAATTAGGAAATAGTTTCACGTGTGAACTACTTGATTTTCTGGGAAGAAACTTGATTTAATTTAAGATTTATTAATGCATGGTGGACAAAGTATTAGTATTAATTTTCTTATGATTTACAGTGAATGAACTAAATTTCAAAAATATTACACTAAATAAAGCTTACAATACAAACTACGTATAAGCAATCCGCATGTGCATGGTTGTACATATATAAGTAATCACGAATTTACGCAATTGGTGATAATAAATAACTTCATGAATGATATATACTTTATCCAAATTTTCCCATTGGCTTAGATGATTTACCAATAAAAATTTATGGGAAATTTCTTACCTAATGGCATACTCACTTCCATGGTTAGTCGGATGTTTCAACAAAATTTCGATATTTGATACTAAAATTATGAAAAGGAAAAGAAAAGCTATTTTCTCATAAGTTTTTATATTCGTTGTAACTTCGAGGTCATTTCTTCTTCTCTTTTGCTCATACTCAACTTTTTGATTTTGTTTTTCTTTTGAGGAGACTTTTCCCTCTTTTTTCCTTGGCCAGTGTTTGAATTTGAACCCTTTAGTATATGTATGTTAAATATTGTAGAGCGAGTTGATACAGTATAGTTCGAAACCAAATTATTTAATTGAGTTAAGCTGCCTACCAACAACGTGGCAGGGTGTAATTGGTAGAATTATTTTATTTGTTGACTAGATTTTATTTGACCTTCCAAGTCTTATTTTGTTTGATGGGCTTGATAGAGAGTTGTATCTCACAATCACCTACGTTACCTATACACATATGGGCCAATGATGTTCATTTAAAAGCCCATCATAATTTTATGAAGCCCATTAAGACATGTTATAGAGAAAAGGAAATCATAAGCCGACCTCGTAAAAAAAGGAAATTATCTTTTTGTTAGTTTTCCTTTTTTCTTCACAATAGGTAACTATTTAATAACGTTTTTTGTAGATAGATCTCAATTTCTCATCATTGCTTTCTTCTTTATCCGTCTCGCTCTCGTTTTTTTTTTTCCTTTCTTTCTCTTGGAGCGATTGAGAGTTTCTCCAAAGTTCATCATCACCAGTGAGAGGTTTTGTTTTTCTCACAAGTTCTTTTAAATTTGTTAAAAGTTTATGCAGATTGTGTATTTCATGATTTTTCGTTTGATACAATGTTTTTTAGGGTTTGAATGTTTTCAATTTCACAATTGTTCTTCTCGAATTCGAACCCTCTTAAATTTTTTGAATTAAGGTAATGTGATTGATTGCCTCTTGCATATTAGGGTTTTCAATTTTGAAATCGGATTTCAATTTTCAGATTTTAAAAGCGTTGTTTTGTTTCAAATCAAGGTTTTTGTTTTAAGGATTTCAATTTAGGGTTTTAATTTCAAACCTGTTTTAAGAATTTTGTTTGTTGCAAATAAGCTTTTTCAAAACTTTTAACTGTTTTTTTCGATTCTTAAGAACTCTGTTTTCAAATTTTTTTTTTTTTTTTTTAAGTTTTTTGTTTTGTTTTTCTTAAAATCCAAAAGAAAGGGATGACAACACTTATGATTGTTGTATGTCCGGTTTCTACTTGGGAAAATTGTCCCTTTATCGTCCGATGTTGCCTAAACAAGCACGATCATGCTTGAAACAGAGATAAACCTTCTTAAGTAAAGGCTTGTCAAAAGTCTGTATCTTGCTGAGCTGGGACAGCATTGATACAATATTCAATTATCTGCTTTGCTGAGCTGGGACAGCAATATATGATTCAATGATCTGCTTATTAAAGGAGGAACAATTGTCCTTTTATAAGGCTTGTATGTATATGGGAGTTGCGAAATTCGAACTTTTAGTTCATATATCTGCTTAAAGATATGTATTGCTGGACTGGGACAGCAGTATAGATAGATCATTCAATGATCTGCTTATTAAGGGAGGAACAATTGTCCTTTTATAGGGCTTGCTTATGGGAGTTGCGAGATTCGAACTTATAGTTCATATATCTGCTTAAAGATATGTAATGCTGGACTGGGACGGCAATATAGATCATTCAATGATCTGCTTATTAAGGGAGGAACAATTGTCCTTTTATAGGGCTTGTTAATGGGAGTTGCGATATTAGAACTTTCAGTTCATATGTCTGCTTAAAGATATGTATTGCTGGACTGGGACAGTGATATAGATCATTCAATGATCTGCTTATTTTAAGGGAGGAACAATTGTCCTTATTACAGGGCTTTTTATGGGAGTTGCGAGATTCGAACTTTCAATTCATATATCTGCTTAAAGTTATGTATTGCTGGACTGGGACAGTGATATAGATCATTCAGTGATCTGCTTATTTTAAGGGAGGAGTAAATGTCTTTTTATAAGGCTTGAAAGAGAGATAAACGTCCTTGAGTAAGGCTATTCAAAACTATGTCCCCAAATTCTGTATCTTGTTGAGCTGGGACATCAATATATTATCCAATGATCTGCTTATTAAGGGAGGAACAAATGTCTGTATCTTGCTGAGCTGGGACAGCATTGATACAATATTCAATTATCTGCTTTAAGATATTTTGTTGTGCTGGGATAGCAATAATCATTTAATGATCTGCTTATTACAGGAGGAACAAAAGTCCTAAGGCTTGTTTATGAGAGTTGCGATATTCGAACTTTCAGTTCATATGTCTGCTTAAAGATATGTATTGCTGGACTGGGACAGCAGTATAGATCATTCAATGATCTGCTTATTAAGAGAGAAACAAATATCCTTTTCATAAGGCTTGTTTATGGGTGTTGCGATATTAGAAACTTTTCAATTCATTTGTCTGCTTAAAGATATGTGTTGCTGGACTGGGACAGCAATATAATATTCAATGATCTGCACATTGATAAAGGAACACACGTATTTGCAAGGCTTGTCTAATGAAATTTCTGAGGTTGAGAAACTCAGTTACCTGGTAAAATTCTATCTTGTCGAGCTGGGGACATGATTGATAATTCAATATTTCTCGATAGGGAAATTCAATAATCTGCAAAAACTATATCTTGATGGGCGTTGTCCCTTAGTCAGGCATCTACAACAGTGTCTGATGGAGAGAAGTTCAAGTGTCTGCTTAACTCAATTATCTGCTTGAAGAAATTTTGCTGGACTGGGACAGCAATATAATATTCAATGATCTGCATATAAAGAAAATAACAAATGTCCTCATTTATAAGGGCTGTGACATCATGATGATGATCAATGTTCTGCTTGAAGAATTTAGTCAGGCTTCTATAACAATGTCTTATGGAGAAGTTCAAGTGTCTGTTTAGACTCAATTAACTGCTTAAAGATATCTTGCTGGGCTGGGACAGCAATAGATTATTCAATGATCTGCTTATTGTAGGAGAAATAGAAATCCTTTTTATAAGGCTTGTTTATGGGTGGATTGCGAGATTTGAACTTTCAGTTCATATGTCTGCTTAAAGAACTTTCAGTTCATATTTTCTTGATGGATTTTGTGATTCCTTGATTGACTCCTTTTTTATTTTGATCAGATAAGTGTTCTATGGAGAAAATCAGTATCCTTTAATGGGAAGAATTCAAGTTTCTGCATAGCTATTTCTTTTTGTGATGGGGCAACATGATATATTCAATCCTCTGCATTTTTTCTGGCTAAGACTCTATGAATAAAGTACTCAATCCTCTGTTCTTCCGTGTGAGGACAATATGGCTACGAATATTTAAACCTCTGCGGCTCCACGTGGTACCAAAATCTACCGTCAATTCGAGGAGGTAAGTATTTCATCTCAACTATGTTGCACTTGTCTGTGTATTGTTATATTTTGACATTGGTCTATTAGCAATGGGTAAGTTTTTTTTCTTCTACTTATGTAATTGTCTTGAAAATGTTAGGTCATTCAAGAATAAATTAATGTCTGTTTGTCTCACTGTGTTCTAACTATATTTTTAGGTGATTGATTCTTAACAGGGAAGTATTGCAGAAATCCAGTGTATATATGAGATCTTTCCCACGTTTGATCAGGTAAGTGTCACTTTCCTTTTTAAACCAAATTATGAATTTAACTAAAGATTTTCTTGATGGATTTTGTGATTCCTTGATTGACTCCTTTTTTATTTTGATCAGATAAGTGTTCTAACTATTCAACTATTAGCCTGTCTTTCCAGCTTCATAAGGCCAAGAACTGGAACTATGTACATGATCTATCTCAGGTTCGACTTCTCTCTATCTTCCTTGGTGTCTAATACTGTAGTATTATTGTTTGCGTTTGATTGTCTTAGTTGAATTCTACATCTGCTTGATCTTAAGAAAGACAATTCCATATTTGATGAAGTTTTCATCTCTCTGTCCACATTTCAGCAGTTTTTGCTTGGTTCTTTAGGTATAGTAGTCCTTCTCTTTCCATTGCTTCTTTTTAATTTCCGTAGTAGTAGCATGAATTTGTCTACTAAAGTGTGAATTTTCGGATTTGCTCAGAGAACACCATGAAGTCATGTGATTAAATGCACTGTTCATAAAGTTTCATATACTTGAGCGGTACTTATTAGGAATTATATAACTCATAGTTGTTTACCCTTTTATATATAATTTCGTTTTGTGCCTAACATCAATATCTTTGTGACTTACTCATAAGTGTTTTATATTGAACTTGTAGGAATTCAATGAGACACCGGTGGAGGCTGTTGGATCATGTGGAAAGTACTGTTTGCAGTCTCCTGAAGTGTGTCCGACTCTTTATTTGAAAATTGAGCTATTGTAGATCAGCAAATTTTGATCAGGTAAATGTTCCCTCTTTTTCTAAGTTATGATGGAGTTTGTGATTCCTAGACTTGTTAACGAAGCTGCATAGTTGTATTGAAATTACAGGATTTAAAGGAGTCCACGCACGAGAAGTTAAGAGGCGGCTATTGCATCATCTTCTTCTTCTTCAAAACCTGAGGTATTTAGTTGCAATACAAAAAAAGAAAAGAAAAATACTTTCCTCTACTAAAGTTTTGAGCCTTTGATCTTTTTAAAGCAGAGCATGACTATATATGACTGAAGGTTTGTCTTATGCCTTTTAGAACAAGCTAGTTGGCTTTTGCGGTGTACAAAGACATTCTTGAATTTGTGTCTTCAGGAAAACAATGCTCTGGCTTTTTTCTCAGGTATGCTCTTCTTCTTCGACTTTCAATTTTCAGTACTTGGTAGCTGCGTAATAAACACAAACATAAACACACCCAACACAAATGCTAACGCAAACAAGAATGTAAATACACACAAAAGCAAAAACTCAATCACAAGAATGTGAATACACACAAATATATACAAATGTCCAAGACAAAACGCAAAAGTCCCAACACAAATGTAAATATTAGGTGGAAGCAAACTGTTAAGTGCAAACATAGGGACAAACCTAAAATATTGAAAGCAAATTGAACCACTTTTTTCACACACGTACATAAATTATTGAATTTACTTAAATACTTTAATCAGTAGATATATTTGTGACCTATATTGTTAATAACAAGCACTCATCATACCTAAATTACAAAGCAACCCTACGTGAAATGCTTAACCAACTGGACCGATTCAATACCGGCTTGGCCAAGATTAATCTTGATCATGCCAAACTGTAGTGCGAAATGCCACAATACATTTTTAAGTCGCGGCAAATACTTTGAAATGACATTTTCGTGTTTCATACTTTCATGTATCAAAATCTATTAAAAGACATAAATATCCCCCAAAAATCATCCATCATAAAGCTGACAAAATCCAACATAAAGTATTTCAATTAAACCTTCAAAAAGGAGAGACATAATAATTGATCACTATCATCAATAATGCAAGACATAACAGCTGTACTCCACAGTAGCATCTCCTGACTTTAGATCAAACCACATGGTCCGAGCTTCGACATAACCTCTAGCGAACCGGAAGAGTCCACTTCCTCCAATCACCGGCATCTCCCTAACCTTGGTCAACACAGCGTTCCGACCAAGAATCGTGATCGTACTTCCGTTATACTTCCCTGTCTTGAAAGCGAAGTTCATCACCATAAGCGCAGACGAATCACGTTGACCAGTAGCAGCGTAGATCCCTTGCGCCTGTCCCACTAAAGTCGAATTCACCGCCACCTCCGTAGTTAATCGGTTGTCGATCACAGTGACCGCGCCGAAGAAGGAAGAGTTTGAGATAGGAGGGTTGATCACGACCGAGCTAGGGTTTGTGCCGCTTAAAATGTCGTGCCAGTAGACACGGAAATGAGTGAGTTTCTCCTTACGGAGGCCAAAGTGGTTTTTGTCAATGGTTTTTGCAAAGTTTTGCCTTTTCCGGCAGAGACAACGGCTGCGAGAAGGAGAATTTGGGTGACGATGATGAGGATGAGTTTTGCCATGAGTGGAGAATTATGTGGTATGTGATTTATTTCTTCTAGATGGTGTCTATGTCTAGACTATATATAGTAGAAGAATACGATTGCGTTTGTATAATAATAAATATTTTTGCCACAACAACATGGGCCGTATTACTATTATTTATATAAGTCGTCGGCGAAAAAAAAAGTCGTACATGTAAGTATGTAAGCTGAAACAAATGATTTTTTTTTTCTTTTAAAATTTTCTCTCTTACTTTCGATATTAGTACCTTTCTCTGTAGTCTCTACCGAACTAATATTCCAAAAAAGACTTAAGACTTGTAGTCTATTATTGCACTGTAACAAGAAAAAATACTTTTAAAATTAAAGATGTTTACACCAACTTTAGTTTGTTTACACCAACTTTAGTTTGTTTACTATTCTTTCATTTCTGCATTGAAAAAATGGTTACGAACTAAAATTAGGTTTAGCTCTTAAATATATATATAAGTAAAAACACGAAAATGATACGACAAAGTCGACAACAATACTAACACAAACAACTAGTTTATCATATATTATGTCCTAGCTAGTTACCGAGCAAATTCATTGTTTTGAGCTATTTACCATATTTAATTGACTTTTCTTTACCAATTGGCAACATGGCAGTGCGTCAATGGCGGCAGAATATTATGTTGTTGACACGGTGTGCCGACGTTTTCATTTCGTCACAGTCAATGTGTCTCGTTCATACTTCCATGCATTTTCAAAGTCTTTTCTTAATCAACCCGTTATAATTGACAATCATAATATATCATTAATTAATAAGACATGATGTTACATGTATTGGTTTACTGGTCCTTTTCAAAGTGTTTGGTGTAGTTTGAGAGTTGCTGTCAAATATTGACATCTGTGATACGTAACGTAAATCTACGTACATAAACGTTACAGTTTGATAATTATTAATAATAAGATTCTAGTAAAAATGTTCTTATGAGTTACGAAGTTTGGTAGTATATATGAAATGCGTATAAATAAATTTGACTCATATATAAAAGAAGTTATACTTATATACAAAAAGCTTAAAATTTCTGGAGACCCAATACCTATGTTTCTTAGAAATGGGTGGCGGGCCGGACCTGCTTATACAAGAACATGATTGTTCAATCACTCGAAATTTTGCTTATAATTTTTTTTTTTTTGTTTCTTAATAACGATAACAATTTTGGAGTACAACAGCGCTTAAGGTCTTGAAAATCTGAAATCAATCCATATGGTCGAAGCGCCAATATAACCTTTAGCGAATCTAAAGAAGTCCAGTTCCTCCTACCAACAAGATTCGTGATCGCACTACTACTCCCATTGCCATCAATCAATACCCACAACTCTTTTTTTTGGGCCACATTAGCATACATCCATTGGTGGGCCTAGCCTACTTCAGTCGTCCCCATGGGCCTGGTTCACTAATGAGAGAAAAAGAGATAATTGGTTGTTTCTATCAGTGAATGGTCCCTCTTTAGCACGAATTGCAATGGGGATATTATTCTCTATTCTCATTGGCTGAGAAGTGCATAAAATTAGTCAGAAAAAAATCCAAAGTTTTCCTTTTAACTAATGTTTTGGAGTCCACAAATTTCAATGTTTTCTTTTTAATCCAAGGTCCACAATTCATCATATTAATATTTTTGAGAATCTTATGTTGTTTATTATATAGAAAAAGACAATCCCTATAAGCTTAAAAATCTAGCCCTAATAATCTATTTCATATACTTAGTGCCGTTGCCGTTTCATCATCACTTAGATATCACCACCTTCGCCGTCGTTCACCCACCTTCGCCGTCGTCCACCCACCTTCGCCGTCGTCGTCTCTGCATCTCCCTCGCCGAGCTGCTATCTAGTGTGGTACGAGATCCTTTTCCTCTTCTTATCCCCTCTAGAGATCGATTGTTCGTCTTTCGTTGGCTTGATTCCGATACACTCTTATGTTGTGGATATTATTAGGTCTTTGCGAGATTGTTCAGTTTTACTTGTCACTAGCTCTGTTATTGTTTGCATCTGCTAATTTCCAGCACCATTGATGATTGCCAAACCAAACATCCTATAATGACTTCGTTTTTGATTACCTCGTGAGGTCAGATAAATATTGATTTGTGTATTTTGTATTTGTGTAGTATTCTCAAGAGGGATGGCAGATCGATTGACGCGAATCGCTATCGTGAGTGAAGACCGGTGCAAGCCTAAGAAATGTCGCCAAGAGTGCAAGAAGAGCTGTCCTGTTGTCAAGACTGGTACTTTTCTGAGTTTTGAACACTTTGTACATAAAAGAACGGTTTTTTATGCCTTGTTTTGTATCTTTAGGGAAACTTTGTATCGAGGTTGCTCCTACTTCCAAGACTGCTTTTTTATCAGAGGAGCTGTGTATTGGATGTGGTATTTGTGTGAAGGTACTTATATCTTTTTACATTGAATGAATGTGTCTTCCTCTAGTTGGTGGACATTGATTTAGAATGATTTGTTGGTGCACAATTTTGCAGAAATGCCCGTTTGAAGCTATTCAGATTATCAATCTTCCTAAGGACTTAGCGAAAGATACAACCCATCGATATGGGGCTAATGGTTTTAAACTGCACAGGTTAGCTAATCAAAAGTTTTTGCCTTGTGGAATCTGTTTGATAATCTGTCTTTAGGGCGCTGATATGTTTCTCGGCTTGCAGGCTTCCAGTTCCACGGCCGGGGCAAGTCCTTGGGTTGGTTGGAACAAATGGTATTGGAAAATCTACTGCTCTCAAAATCTTGGCTGGAAAACTCAAACCAAATCTCGGCAGATTTAATGTAACTATAGACTCTCTGAAGTTTCTCTACCTCTTATGCATATAATGTGTCTATTCTGTAATTTTTGTATGATTGATTATTCTACTACTTCTTGGGCAGACTCCTCCTGACTGGGAAGAAATTTTGACTCACTTCCGCGGGTCAGAACTTCAAAGCTACTTCATCCGAGTCGTAGAAGAGAATCTAAAGGTAGGGTCCAAACTATTCTTGATATTTGTTCTTATGGAAGCAGCTCACTAAGTGAGTCTGATGCCCCTTGTATGTATGACAGACTGCTATAAAGCCACAACATGTTGACCACATAAAAGAAGTTGTTCGAGGTAATCTCGGGACGACGCTTGAGAAGATGGACGAGAGAGGAATGATGGAAGAGATTTGTGCTGATATGGAGTTGAATCAGGTCCTGGAGCGTGAAGCAAGACAAGTATCTGGTGGAGAGCTGCAGAGGTTTGCGATTGCCGCAGTTTTCGTAAAGAAAGCTGATATATACATGTTTGATGAACCATCTAGTTACCTCGATGTGAGGCAGAGACTCAAAGCTGCTCAAGTTATACGCTCACTCCTCAGGCATGACAGGTTTGTTTTCTCATCTTCTGAACTCCTTAGTATTGAGTTTATCTTCCTGAATAAGATACATTTTGCTTACATGGGCTTCGCCTTTTTGTTGTAGCTACGTAATTGTTGTGGAGCACGACCTCAGTGTCCTTGACTATCTCTCGGATTTCGTTTGCTGTTTGTATGGGAAACCAGGAGCATATGGTGTTGTGACTCTCCCCTTTTCTGTCAGAGAAGGAATCAATGTGTTCTTGGCCGGGTTTATCCCCACAGAAAACTTGCGTTTTAGGGATGAATCTCTGACCTTCAGGGTAAAGCTTTTCCAGCGGCCTCCAAGAGAAGTGGCTGACATTTGTGACTGATATAGTTTTTTCTTCTCTTTCCAAGGTTTCTGAGACTACACAAGAAAGTGATGGGGAAGTGAAGTCCTATGCAAGATACAAATACCCAAACATGAGTAAGCAACTTGGAGATTTCAAGCTGGAAGTGATGGAAGGGGAGTTCACAGACTCTCAGATTATCGTTATGCTTGGAGAGAATGGTACAGGGAAAACAACCTTCATCCGGATGCTGGTAAAATTCCTCTCCTTTGTTTTCTCTGCTCGTTTTGGTTAGACGTTGAATGAATGAAATTTGTATCTTAATGCAGGCAGGCGCATTCCCACGTGAAGAGGGTGTAGAATCGGAGATTCCAGAGTTTAATGTGTCGTACAAACCGCAAGGGAATGATTCGAAGCGCGAGTGTACAGTGAGACAGTTGCTACATGACAAGATTCGTGATGCATATACACATCCTCAGTTTGTGTCAGATGTAATAAGACCGCTTCAGATTGAGCAGTTGTTGGACCAAGTGGTAAAAACTCTTTCTGGTGGAGAGAAGCAGAGGGTTGCCATTACTCTATGCCTCGGGAAGCCCGCTGATATCTATCTGATTGACGAGCCAAGTGCGCATTTGGACTCAGAGCAGCGGATCACAGCTTCAAAGGTCATAAAACGGTTCATCCTGCACGCAAAGAAAACCGCGTTTATTGTGGAGCATGACTTCATAATGGCAACCTATCTTGCGGACCGAGTCATTGTGTACGAAGGACAGCCAGCTGTCAAGTGTATTGCTCATTCTCCACAGTCGCTGCTCAGCGGAATGAACCTCTTCTTATCGGTAATCTAACACTTTTAAGACGTTTGAGTTATTATCAATCTCCTCTATAAAACCAACTAACTTCTTGTCCTTTGCAGCACTTGAATATCACATTCAGACGGGATCCCACTAATTTCAGGCCGAGAGGATAAACAAACTAGAGTCCATCAAGGACAAGGAGCAAAAGACTGCAGGATCATACTACTACTTAGACGATTGATTGATTGGTTGGTCAGAGAGAGGTGCATACCAAAATTTTAGGAAAGTGAACTAGTATATTGAGACTGAAACAATGCCTTTGATTGTTATGTTTGTATTTTGAGACTCCCTCTCTGTCTGCATAAAGTTGTGACTAAAGCGTAAGTTGTTTCAAGACCACTTACCTAGAAATTTAAGCATCAAACATTAGAGATAGAAGTTGGAGGTAATGTTGCTTGGATACATTAGAGCAAGAAAGCAAGTTAAAGGATTTTGAAATTGAGATTAAATGGCGCTTGAGATTATGATAATTTTTCTCTATTAAAAGGATTGATTCCGGTTACTCCAATATAATGTTTGTCATATTGTTCTGTTTTTGATTTTGTCATAAGAATGTCTTTTTTTTTTTTTTTTTTTTTTTTTTTTTTTTTTTTTGTGTGGCTATTTCTTACCCTTGAAACATATAATATTGTTTTTTTTTTTTTTTGTAACATAATATTGTTTGCATGAATCAATCGTATGTCACAAAAATATCCTAATTATATAAGTTTTTTGGATCAATCAAACTTATTTTCTTATATACTTTGTTTGATTGTAGTCAAACAAACCGAGAGTCGTGAATAGATAAAATAGAAAGAAGTATAGGTGATCATATTCATAGGGGATAGAGAGTCGTGAATGGACTTAGAGGCCCATGTCTCGAGCGTCCTGGCTTCCTTTTCCAATCTCAAATCCTTCAAGGATGCCACCGGTAGGACCACTTTGGGTATTTTCCATATTCCTCAGAAGATTCATCTCTTGTGGAGACAGAATTCCTCTCTCTCTTGCTTCTTTCCTACGCTCTTCCCAATCAACAATGGCTTCCACGTTTACACAATGGCGTGACAAGGTCTGGATTATCTGTTATAGGGGAAAAAAACAATGGTTATTTAACATCAAAACAAAGAAATAAGACCAAAAAAAAAAAAAAAAAGTATCAAAATATATTCTTACTCACATCACCAAAAACGGGGAAAAATGGTGACTGAGGTTCAAGACATATATCTTCTCCACAGACTCAATGATTTGGATCTATTTTTTGTGTAGAACAAGTACTCGTCAAAAGAAATTAGAGATTGTAATTATTTACTTATAAAAATGCATCATATTGTTTCGTTATTAAAATGCTCACTTGGGTAGTTTTGCTGGTGGCATATGGAATAAGGATAGGACCATATATATGTATCAAAAACCTGATCGATGGTTTCTTGGATGCTAAGGAGCACTGAAACAATTTTTGAGAATGAGAGTAGATATAATTCATAAGAAAAGATGCAAAAAAAAGAAACTAATAAATTAATTACCGTTTAGGTTTGCACGTCTTTGAACAGCAAGAAGCATTCCCTTCACAATGGCCTCCGCATATTTTGAGTGAGGCACAGCTTCGGCCAAAGTCTCTGACATTCTTTCAAGCTGTTTACGGATTTTCGTCATCGGCTCACGCCTCTCATAAGCCGTTTCCAGTAGACCAACAATCTACAAAGAAACAAAATGTAAAAACATTAGTTGATAAACTATATGATAACATTTAAAAAAAAAACATATCATTAAATTTTAGTATATCAATCTTATACCTCAACACTCAGATCCTCAGCGCCACCTTCCATTTTCTTTCTAGTCAACAAAGAGACAAACAAGATTTTTTTTTTTCTTTTGTATGAAAGACAAACAAGATTTTATGATCTTCTCATCGTCTTCTTGATGCCCATTTTATAAGGGAAAAATTACAGTAAGGTTAAAAAGGTGAAAAAAAACAAATGCCTTTTTAGTTATTTTTACCATTGTTTGATTCACTTCAAGTTTGCTCTCTTTAGAAACTTATGTGCATTACATATATCTATCTCTATATATTGAAGTAGTAAGTAGTGTATATGCGTTTTCAATTATCGTAATATTACTAAGATACTATACTGATAGGGGAAAAAAAAAGAAACCAAGAAGCACTATACTAATCTATACTTAATAAATCTAATTTCTATAAAACAATGCTGATGATAATGATGATAAGAACAACTAGCTAGGGCTGAACACTTACATGATTTGGTTCGGTTACTATAGTTAAAATTACATAGTCATTATACTAATTCCTTCTTATCCTTTGTGTAAACAATAAATTTTACTGTTGATAACCAAAATTTATTTTATATAATTTTATATGTCATATTGGCTTATATTAAGTTTCATCATATGAGAACTTGTTGATAGAAAATTGACAATTATAAGACATTGATGTCTCCTAAATATTTAATCTAGATAAATAGTTATTTGATCAAATGAATTTGGCTAATAGAAAGAATTGAATATGACTATGATACTTCAACAATAGTAAATTTTTGAATAAATTGTGAATATTTGATGACCATGTGTTTAATGACTTTTGGCAGCGATGCAATTTCGTTAAAAGTCCTGCAAATATAATTTGCTATTATAAGTATTGACCTATCTTTTGAAAAACTAATACTAATCGATGACAAAGGTGAAAATGTAAAAACGAAAGGAAGGTGATGACTGGGGTAAGTAAAGTGGTAACATTAAATAAAGCACACGCTAAATCATCTTTTTCTAGTGGGTTTTGTAACTACAATTTTTGTCTTTCTTTGTAAATGGAAAAAATGCTTTGACAAAGTTCTATGTTTCCTCAACGAGGGTTTGACATTAGGGAAGAAGAAACGTCGAAAAAACAAAAGTAAACGACAAATAGAGAAAGAATCTGACTGACAAACAGCTATACAAAAATATTAACATATTTTCGATGGAAAAAAAATCAAAAAGCTTTGGGAATTTGTTGCGTTTTATCCATGTTTTAAAAATGTATGTTCTAGTTCCATGGATGGACTCATGACAGTAAAGTATGTTCTCCTCTAATATTGTTTGATGCTTTAAATTTGGAATTTCTAGACCATAGTCATAACTTTATCAAAGCGATTGTTTCAGTCTTAAATACTAGTATACTATAATACATCCCCTGAAAACACCAAATTCAAGTATTTATTTATGCGTTATACATAATTTGTTGTTAACCGATTCCTCTCTCTTGTTAACCGATCAATCAGTCGTCCAAGTAGTAGTATGAGCCTGCAGCCTTCTGTTCCCTGTCTTTGGTGGACTCTAATTTGTTGATCCTTGGCCTGAAGTTAGTCGGATCCCTTCTAAATGTGATGTTCAAGTGCTGCAAAGGACAACAAGTTAATTTGCTTTATAGAGTATTGATTATAGATAAGTGTTACACAAGACGACTTACCGATAAGAAGAGGTTCATTCCACTGAGTAGTGACTGTAAAGAATGAGCCATACACTTGATAGATGGTTGTCCTTCATACACTATGATGATTTGAATAGCTTCTCACGGGCATTTCTGCGAACATGCATCAACAAATCTCACTTTTAGTGAGTTAGTGTCCAACTTGAGGGAGACACATTCATTTAAAAAAATATAGCCTACCTTCACTCAGATACCACATCCTATACACAGTTCCTCCGATAAGAAAGCAGTCTTGGAAGCAGGAGTCACTTCAATACAAAGTCTCCCTAGAGAAACAAACTAAGACATGAAGATGAGGTTTTGTGCACAGACCAAGAATAAAATGAGGACAAGTACCAGTCTTGATGACAACACGACAACTCTTCTTGCACTCCTTCTTAGGCTTGCACCAGTCTTCACTGACAGATAGCAATCCGCGTCAATCGGTCTGCCATCCCTGGACAAGGATACTACGTACAAGAAGATACACAAATCTACATTTTAACTGCCTCAAGAGGAAAACACAACAAGTCTTTAAAGAATGATGCGTTACCAATGACCAGTGATGTTGATATGCAAACAAAAACAGAGCAAATGACAAGTAAAACATATGTCAGTGAAAGTAGCAGGAAGATGTCATAAGCTAGAAGCCTAGAATCGAACAATCTTGCAAGGACCCTAATATCCACAACATAGAGACTCGAAGACTACCACTTGACCAGAGATATAATCTAATCAATTCAGATTCACATTGATTAATTAGCGTTTCTAACCAAATTAGAAAAGATCCACCACCCATGAATCAAGCCAATATAAGTAAAAAAAGCATTCGGATCACCAAGCATAAGAATGTGAAGAAGAGAATCTAGTACCACCAGTATATACAGCAGATTCCACGAGGAGAAGATCTAAGAAGAAGCAGATTCGATGAAGGTGGCCAAGGATCTAGGCGTCAGGTTAGGGCTTTGGTTTTTTTTTTTTTTTTTTTTTTAAATGTAGGAATTCTTAAACTAATTAATTAAGATATTTTGGTCTTGTAAAACATGGTGGACCCGTTAAGACAAAAAAGGAGAGTAAAAACATGTGAACTCCAAAACCAAAGTACAAGAGAAACTTTTCAATTCAGATTCTCTAATAAGTCAGTCTCTTAAGATTTGGAATTCTGACTCATCCTTAGCCAATCATCACCGTACCGAATAAATGTCCCCAGTTGCAATTGGTGCTAAGTGGTAACACTAGGAGTAGTAGTATAGAGCATATTTTAAATTAATTAAATATTCGACCTTTTAATGCTTTCGAGAGATTTGCACTAAATTGGCTTGATGGGTTCTTAGTAGATTATGCAAAAAATCCAATACGGCCCAAATTAAAGAAAAAAACATAATATTGTATAGAATTGTGGGTTTCTTCTAAAATGTTTATAAAATTGAACATGTTTTGTGACTTAAGTTATTATAGGGTTGATTACAAGACTATATGCACAATTTTAGAGTTTAGTATTCAGATATTTAAAGACTAATCCAAGTCCAAGTAGGCGGAAAGAACTTTAAATCCTTTCCTTCTCTCTTTCTCTTTTTTTTTTTGTTGGAACTCTCTCTATCTTTTCTATTTATTGTCAACTTGCCAGCTATAAGTACTGAATTATCATCACTCTAACATAGAAAAAATAAAAACAAATACTAAAATCATAAAACATGATTAACAAATAATTAAAAAGATATAATCAACACATTTATATCGAATGATTCCAATTTCCAAATCTTCAGCAAAGATTCGGTTCTGATACGACCAACTGACTTACCCATTACATACACGTTTCTCAAAACATTTATTATTTGGATTCTTTCAATTAAACAACTTCAACATCATCCCTTTTATATACATTCTCAATCTCTTCCACTCTCTCAGAAAAAAAAAAAAAGAAAAAGAAAAAAAGAACACAAAAAATGACAATCTCAGAGACATCGAGATCAAGCCACGAGCTCCCATTAACAACCGCCGAATCCAGCGGAAACAGAGCAACCGCTAAGAAACTGACTTTGGTCCCTTTGATTTTCCTTATTTACTTTGAGGTCGCTGGTGGTCCATTTGGTGAAGAACCGGCGGTTCAAGCGGCTGGACCGCTTTTAGCGATTCTCGGTTTCCTTATCTTCCCTTTCATTTGGAGTGTCCCTGAGGCACTAATCACCGCTGAGCTCTCCACTGCGTTTCCAGGTATATCTCAATTCAAATCCGAATTAGACAAAGATCTAAACTTTATGTGTAGACATCGCTAAGAACACTGCTTTATCTATGAGAGATTTTGGTGAAAGGAAGCTACTTTCTGATTCAAATGCTAATGGTTGTTAAGAACTAGGGTTTTAATTTGGATTTAAGCCTGAAACTTTTCTGATTTGATGAATTGGTATCAGGCAACGGAGGGTTTGTGATATGGGCGCATCGGGCATTTGGTTCTTTCGTGGGCTCAATGATGGGTTCGTTGAAGTTCCTGAGTGGTGTGATTAATGTTGCTTCGTTTCCTGTCCTCTGTGTTACTTACTTGGATAAGCTCTTCCCTGTTCTTGAATCCGGGTGGCCCCGAAATGTCTGCATTTTTGCCTCAACGGTGGTCCTATCTTTCTTAAACTATACTGGCTTAGCCATTGTGGGTTACGCAGCTGTTGTTCTCGGTCTGGTGTCTCTCTCGCCTTTCCTTGTTATGTCGGCTATGGCAATCCCTAAGATCCAACCTCACCGTTGGGGTAGCTTAGGAAACAAGAAAAAGGATTGGAATCTCTACTTCAACACACTCTTCTGGAACTTGAATTTCTGGGACAATGTTAGTACTCTTGCAGGGGAAGTAGACGAGCCTCAAAAGACATTCCCGTTGGCGCTTCTTATCGCTGTGATCTTCACTTGTGTTGCTTACTTGATTCCTCTTTTCGCTGTCACGGGTGCAGTCTCGGTAGATCAGAGCAGATGGGAAAACGGGTTTCACGCAGAAGCAGCTGAGATGATTGCAGGGAAATGGCTGAAAATATGGATTGAGATTGGAGCTGTCTTATCAAGTATAGGACTTTTTGAAGCTCAGTTAAGCAGTAGTGCTTATCAGCTGGAGGGCATGGCGGAATTAGGGTTCTTGCCTAAATTCTTTGGGGTACGGTCGAAATGGTTCAACACTCCTTGGCTTGGGATTCTAATCTCAGCTCTCATGTCTCTCGGATTATCGTACATGAACTTCACAGACATCATATCCTCAGCGAATTTCTTGTACACTTTAGGGATGTTTCTAGAGTTTGCGTCTTTCATTTGGTTAAGAAGAAAACTACCTGGTTTAAAGAGACCTTACCGAGTTCCGCTGAAAATACCGGGGCTGGTAGTTATGTGCTTGATACCTTCGGCGTTTCTAGTGCTGATTATAGTGTTTGCTACTAAGATCGTGTACCTTATATGTGGTGTAATGACCATAGGAGCAATCGGTTGGTACTTCTTGATCAACTACTTCAGGAAGAAGAAGATCTTCAAATTCAACGAAGTTATTGATGATCTTGACAACAATGTCAACGGAGAACATCCCAAAGTCGATGATCACAATTCATGATAGAGTTAAACAGAGGATATTATCAACCTGAGATAGGTTTTTCAATTCAATGTAAGTTCCTTGCTTCTGTAACATTTTAGGCTGATAAAAAGATAAACTATATTGATCAGTGATAGTAAATTGTACAACACAATTCTGAACAGAGAAACTGGTACAAGAAGACATCATATATGTCTTCTCCCTTTCTTCGTTTATTCACTTACACACAATACAAACAGGAAACAAAAAAAAAAAAAAAAAAATTCGAACTCCTTGAGGTTGATTGTGATCAGATCTTGGCGTAATCGACGGTTTTCTTTCCATCGTGTGCCTTCCTGAAGAAATACTTGACGTAATCAGAGTACAGGACGTCTCTGTAAATCGGTTCCTCTCCGTTTGCAATCACCTCAGGTAGAGGACCAATCACTGACTCTGGTTTTGGATTCACAAAGATAGGAACAGAGATTCTGTTATTGTTACCGTTGGCTAAGACACGATGCTCCACGCTCTTGTACCGACCATTGCTCAAGATCTGCATCGCATCTCCGATGTTGATCACAAAAGACCCGGGAACCGGTGGCACGTGAACCCAGTTCCCTGATGCCAGAGAACGCACGTGTAGACCACCGATCTGGTCTTGTAAGAGGATGGTGAGAGAAGAGACGTCTGAGTGGCGACCAACACCAACGGTTAGGTCCGGGTTAGGACAAATCGGATAGTAGTTGAGGTTGACTCGAATCGAACCCATAAAGAGTGATTCTTTCGTCTCGTCTAGCTCCTTCACGTTGAGATTCTTCCCCAAATACTCTAGAAGCTTCCTCACCATCTTCTTTGACTTGTCAATGTACTCTAACGTTTCATTCCTGCAACCAAATAATCAAGGATTCTATATAAGTCAATGATTACAAGAGTAGAAAGATTTGATTTTGAAATCATGAAATAGTGAAACTTACCTGCAGATATCAGGCCAGAACTGTTCAGCTTCAGCTTCAGAGACAAAGAAGAGACTGAGATAATCTTTCCACTCGAGAGCTTGCTCTGCAAGAGGACTAAAACTCGTCCCAAACCTAACAGTCGTCGACAGAGAATTCTCTTTAGTGAATTTGCACTTCTCTTCAACAGGGAGATTGAAGAATCTGTGAGTCGCCGCCTTAACATCGTCAAGAACTTCCAAAGGGACTCCATGGTTGATCACTTGAAAGAAACCCCATTTCTCAGCAGCATCACAGACAGCTTCAGCGACTCTGTTCTCGTCAGGGTTCGACATATCGATCACCGGAATGGCTTCGTCTGTTTCGTTGACGAATTTGTTGATGAGTCGTTCTTCAAATGGCTGGATGTATTGATCTGGAAGAGCTTTGATTCCTGTTTCTGATAAACCCTTTACACCATTTCCTTTGTGGACTACGAAGTCGGTTACTTCAGCTGGGTTTGAGAATTGGGTTGTTGAGAGTGTTGGAGCCATTGGATCGGAAATGGAATAAAAAGATTGGATCTTTTTTTGGTTTGTTTGCTTAAAAATTGAGACTTTTGGATTTTGATTGTATTGTGAAGATTTGTTACAGAGGGAAAGAGTATTTGCAATCAGCTTATGACCGAACAACCTCTGTGGCTCTCAGCCTCTCACCATGCTTCTGCCGTTTTTTCTTCTTCCCGCGTTTATTCCTCAATTTAAAAATATCAATTTGTACTAATTAATATTTGGCTTTCAACAAACTATTTGGGTATGATCTGGTCAACTATCATATGAATATTACTAAGATATTGTAAATACAAAATAAAATTGTATATGATTTTATTATACTTAAAATAGACAATAAAGAGTAATTACACAAATATTATTTAGTTAACACATATATATCCTGTAGGGCTAATAACAATAATCAGTTCAATCTTATTGATTGACCAATTGTTTATTTTATGATTTTACACTTGATTTGATCAAAGTTTGATTTTTAGAGTGCGACTTATGCAAATTAATGGGGGTAAACTCAACAAAATTTCCCAGGATAATAATATAGATAAATTAAAGGGTTGGTCATGATCTTTGAAAAAATCAATGTTTGTTACGAATGTGGTGCAATTATAATTATATGTTGTGAAATTAATTGTATGTAGTGTTTCGAATATTGCATACAAGTACATTAGCTCATCGTGTGAATGGTGAAATTATCATTTTAGTATTTGTAATATAATTAAAAGCGTATATTCAAACTAGAGATGATCTTAGAAATCAAAATCGAAAGACATCAGTCTTTTAACAACCATCAGTCTCTACCTCACTTCACCACTTTCAAGCTCATCGACCGGGATCCGCAAACACAAGTTAATACAATTTTTTTTTTTTGATAACCAGAAGGTTCGGGGCCGAAGCCCTTAATCCCCTAGGGTCCAGGGAAGACCAGGTGAAAACCCCTGGCCAAATGAAAATGACTAGCACTTTCGCGCTTGAGGGGAATCGATCCCTGGCCTGGACTAACAGGGCGACTCCTCTTCAAGTGAAAGCCACTAGACCACGACCACTTGGTTTTCATTAATACAATTTTGTGTTAGATGATCACATTTCTGTGATGTCTTCACATTTGTTACCTTGTTTTTTTTTTTTGTCAAAATTGCAAAAGTCATAAGTTTTAACTAAAATTTTCATTTTTAATGATAGTATATTGAATATAAA